GCAGGACAGGCCAGGCCAAGAAAGGGCAGGCCAGGCCAGGCCAGGCTCACCTGCAGGTGCTGCCCTGGGCAGCTCGGTGGGGGTGCTTTTGCTGGTCCCCGGGCTCAGCAGCTTCACGTAGTTGGCAGGAAACCACCCGATCTGGCGCTTCTTCCCCCTGGCCTGGGGAGAAAACAGGGCTTGGAGGAGGAGGAGGGAGCACAGCAGGGCATCCCTGGGCCAATGTTTGAACTGTGTGCAGCCACAGCACTTCAGAGCAGCAAAAAACTGCATTTTATAAGGAAAAAACAGCTATTTTTGGCAGTAGTTGAATACTGTAACACTTCTGCTAGCATTTAACTGCTTGAAGAATTGCATTTAAATAGATACCAGACTGTGACAGTTCAAGCAGAGATCAAGGATCCAAATTATCTCTTTCCTTTTCAACACCTTGTGCCACCAGAGCAGGACAGAAACCTCCCCCTGGCACTTCCCCAACTGCCTTGGTCATTGAAACCAAATACAGGAAAAAATCCTGCCTGTCAGAAAGGTTATTCCAAAACTGAATCCCATCTCAGCCTCTAAATCTGTGTTGGGAATTATTTTAACTCTTTATTCCCTGTCTGTGGTGTTAGAACAAAGTTGGTATTTTGGGCAGGGGGAATTTTGCCTTTAAAAATGAATTAATGCTAAATTTGGTTGAAAAAAAAGGTCATCTAACAGATTTACTATCCTCTAACTACTTTTTCCCCTCTTAAAATTTTTATTAAAAAAGAAAGCACTTGATCTAAAGAGCATCTAGAGCATTAATTTTAAGCTATTTTTGGATGCTGCATTAAACCAGCTTAAAACATTGGCTTTATTTTCCCTCCTCTCTGCCCCCCAAGTGTGGAAGAGGAGAATAAATAGAATATTTATAGAATAGACAGGAGACTGATATTGAAACAAAAAACAATTGTATCACATACAAGTATCTAAAGTCACACTGAATATTTACACAACCAAAAACCTAATTGTTTTAGAACCTCCCAGCAGCTGCTCAGGGAGAATTGTGGCAGATCTTGCCCAGTGAAGCTTCTTTTCTGTCTCAAAATCCATTTAATGGAGACTTTGTAAAGGCAAAAGTTACCAGCAGCAGAAAGGTCGGTGAGAACAAAGCCCAGAGGAATCCTGGAAGGTGATTTCTCCACAGAAGATGAAAAAATATCCCCAGAAAAGGCCAAAAGGGCAGGTGGTAACAGGGAACAATAACTAAATTCCTTTTGGAGCCTCTGCCCTGCAAATAAACCCATGACATTTCTTCACCTGCTCAAAAGCCAAACCCCAAACCCCCTCACTGAGTGGGACCAAATTGTCAAGTTCTCCTCCTAAAAACACCCTGGGGGGGTTCAAAAGGAGCCCAAACAAGCCCTAAAATCCCCCTTTCCCAGGGAACTCCAGGAAAGCAGCAGGGCCTGCCAGGCAGGGATTCCCTGCTGATCTCCCTGCAGGGTCATTCCCAGGGAATGTTTTTGAAAGGTATTTTATCTTCCAAAGCTGAACTGCACAACGTTCTCCAGGGATTTCTGACTGACACCTTCAGCGTTTGGAACTGCTACAAAAATCACCTTTTTTTTTTTTTACCATGGAATTTGATTACCATAAAAAAGGCACTAACTTGGAGCTCTCCTTCCCACCAACCACCTGGATTCTTCTTCCTGATGAGGATGAGCTGCCCAGGAGCCAGAGTGAGCTGTTCTGGGCCCGTGGCTGTGTAAGAGGCAATAACTTGGGCAATTTCTGGGGGAGCACAAGGGGAAGAGAAGGTTAGTTTGGAAAAGCCTGAACACAGTCTATCCATTATTAATCCTGCTACGACCACCGTGGCCTTTCTCTCCATAAAATCGGGATGGATTGGTGTATTTCCAGGGGTACACGTGGGAATGACAAAATAAATGACAAGTTCAGGGCTCTGCAGGAGTAAATAATTAAGGTAGGAGATAAAAATATCTGAAATATAGAATAACAACAACAATAATAACAACAACAACTGTACAGTCCTTAAAATGCAGTTTCATAGTACTGTTTTCCAGTAAATACAACTCCCTAAAATTCCATTTAGTCAAGCCCAGTTTTGGACTAAGCTCCCTAAAAGGAGGAGCCACGCCGATGACAACACAATGAAGTTGCACTGAGAGGTGCAAATGAATTGATCTTTCCCCACCAAGTGAATGTTTTCAAAGGGAACCAAAGAGGATTTCTTTGGGAATGCTCATTCCATGGCTGTCAGCAGGGAGCAGGTGCTCCATGTGACCCCCTGCCAGCCCGGAGGGACACAGGAGCCCTGAGCTCACCAATCCCTCTGCAAATCCCCAAGGCAGAGCCAGAGCTGGGGTTGGTTTCAGTGCCTGGCACAGCCAGAGTTTGGGCTGGTTTCAGTGCCTGGCACAGCCAGAGTTTGGGCTGGTTTCAGTGCCTGGCACAGCCAGAGTTGGGGTTGGTTTCAGTGCCTGGCACAGCCAGAGTTTGGGCTGGTTTCAGTGCCTGGCACAGCCAGAGTTTGGGCTGGTTTCAGTGCCTGGCACAGCCAGAGTTTGGGCTGGTTTCAGTGCCTGGCACAGCCAGAGTTTGGGTTGGTTTGCAGTGCCTGGCACAGCCAGAGTTTGGGCTGGTTTCAGTGCCTGGCACAGCCAGAGTTGGGGTTGGTTTCAGTGCCTGGCACAGCCAGAGTTTGGGGTTGGTTTCAGTGCCTGGCACAGCCAGAGTTTGGGCTGGTTTCAGTGCCTGGCAGAGCCACAGGACAGGTGTGGGCCCCAGGGAAGGAGCGGGGCAGCCGTGCCAGGGGAACCAGCTGGCAGCTCCTGGAACTGGGTTGCAGGGAACAGACACAGGGAGCTGGGGCCTGGCAGGAAAATCATCAGTGCTGACTCCAAACTGAGGAGGAAAGGATGACTGGGGATATTAGGAATGGTCAGGGAAGCACGTGAGACACGGGGAGGGTGGGGAAGCAGAGGGATGAGCAATCCCAGGGCACTGCAAATGCTGTCTCCTGCTGAAAGTCTGCAGGCCCCTGCATTTGCAGGGTTTCCCACAGAATTCCATTAATCCCTCCAGGATTAATGGAGGGATCCAGGAGGCAAAATGAACCCCAGCAAGCAAAGGAGTGGTGGGAGTTTGTCCAGATCAGGACAACCCCTCTCGCTACCCCAGCAGTTCCCACGTTCAGATCCCAATGGAAGAGCAAAGATCTTACCCTCGTTACCCCTCTCAGAACAAGGAATTGCTCATTTCTACCTACGACAGGTGGTTCCCAAGGTGTGAGCCATCCCCTGCCCCCACCCAGCAGCATTAAGGACTTTGTAAGGGTTTCTGAGTTAAAGGAGTTACAACACAAGGTACAGGTTCAACATTCAGCTCTTGCCCATCACAGGGAGAAAGAAATTCAGAGAAAAGTGTCCAGAAAAAAAAGTTCAAAAAAACCCCAAGCCAGAAACAGCTTTCCTTCCATGAAGAACCTTTTCATTTTGTTTGTTTGAATATTGAATTACCGAGAAGAGACTTTACAGCCCCTTCCCGGGGGGCTTCAAGGGGGGCCAAGAGAGCTGGGAGGGGACTTTGGACAAGGGATGGAGGGACAGGATGAGAGGGAATGGCTTCCACTGTTTTGTTCAGCAACCCATCAGGAAGTTTACATTCCTTTTTGAGTAGATTTCTATTCTCTGGCTACCTGCTATTTATGACTGACATGTTAGAATGACTAGAGATGATGCATTATTTCATTAGTTACATTATTTATTAACTGCATTTATTACAGTTGTTTCCATCAGTGCAAACTACTACAAAATGACCAGGCCAAATATCCTTTATTTCCATGGGAAAGATTTTGTTGCCACTGAATGTAAACATTTAAGAACAAACAGAAGGTGCTGCCACAACACAGGACTCACCAGGTTTCTTCCCTAGGCTTCCCGTTTTCCCAGCTGCTCCTGGAGCCTGGAAATAGGAAACAAGATGCAAGTTTAGCACTCAGATTTATTTCTCTCCTTACACATTAAATTTCACACACTCCCCAAGCATGGAAATGAAAACCTCCCAGGAAGATTGTGTTTTTACAGAAACCCTTCCTGTTTCTGATGGCAATAAATGCCTGGGAATAAACCTCAAGCAGTGTGTGCGAGTGGATGACTCAGTGCAAAAGTGCAGAATTCTCTCCTGAGCTCTTCCTCCCTTTCATGGACTGCAAATATCAGTGTGAATCCAAATTACACCACACTGGAGTTGTATATCTGGGAATCCACACAGTGGGAATTCTGCCGAGCTGAGTTAAACCAACAAGAATTGTTTACAAACAGTTGGATTGCAAATATTCCTGAGAAACTCACTGCAGCCAGACAGGGTGGGATGAGGGATAAACATCATCATCATCCTCCAGGCCAAGGGATTTGCAAGAAAAGCCTTTGAACAGCCACAAAAAACTCAGTAAACCCTGGAATTAGTGCAGTTCCTGCTCCCTAAATAATTCCTCCTGTTTTCTCCTAGTCCACTAACCCTCTTATCTCCTGCTGTGAAAAGGTTTCAGATGGATAACAGCAAACATAAACCTGAACTGAACTTTGGTCAGAAACGTTGGGTCACCATGAATATCCTCTTGCCCTCAACACTTCCACCCTCCTTCACCTTCACCTTCACCTTCACCTTCACCTTCAGGATGCTCCTTACAAACCACCTCCTGTCCTCTCCTGTCCCTGTCAGGCACTGATTGCACTCACACCCCACAGGGACAGCAACCCTTCCTTCCCTCCCTGAGCCCTTTGATTCTCCCCAGGTGCCCACCTTGCTCTACAACCACTGGGACCTGTGTGACACAAACAGTGAGCTAGGAAAGCATCACCCAGAGCTCAGACACAAAGCCTGAGTTTAGGGCTGGGGACAAGGACAAGATGGGCTCGACAGTCCCAGGGGGGGAGGATTAAATGGTGAGCAACAACTCAGGCTGAAAGGGGAACACCAGGAATTAATTCTGCCTTGGAAAGTGTTTCTTGCAGAGAAACACCCTCAGTGAAAACCAAGGGTTTGGACTTTCAGAGCACACCCCCCTCCAAACTGCCATCCCCACTGCTGGATTGGAAGCACATCCCTCAGGGTGGGACACTGTCCTACACACAGCCCTCAAACACAGAGGGGTTATTGCAGGGCAGAAACCTCACAATCACCTGGGCCAGGCTGACTCTGAACTGTGCTGGAGGGCTCACTGAACCCTTGGTGAAAAAGCAGCATAAATACACAGGGAAGTCCTCCAGCACTTCAGTAAATAACTAAATTACCAACAGTGCATTTGAGATGGACCCAACTTCTGCTCCATTCAGGAGGTGGAGAAATAGTTCCAATTCCCTCTGTAGAGGAAACACAGGGAGAGGACAGAGCCTGTTGTGCTTCCCTTCTGCACAGCTGAGACACTCGCTGAGCACTGCAGGGGGTTCTGTGTGCAGGGATCAAGGCTCTGGAACAGAAGAGCAGAACTTGCTCTGTCAGTGAGACCCAGCAGCCTCATTAAACTGGGTGCTGCAGCAGGACCCTGCACATTCCCACTGAGATTATCTCCTGAACATTTAAGCAAAGTTTTGTAAGCAGAGCCATCCAAACTGCTGGTTTCCAAGCTCCCCCCTGAGCTCCATCCCCTCAGAGGAATCACCACCCCTCTCAAGGATAACACCCTGTTTCAGATCTGTTTCCATCTACCTCAGCCTAATAAAAACTTGGGCATGGACCACGGAGTGGTGTCACTGTTCCTTTGGAGAACAAAGGCTTTCCCACCCTGTTAATAAGTTGGAACTTATTATTATATATTATTGGAACAGGGAATAGTTTAATTTATCACCTCGGGGTGAATGGGCAGCCTGGGCAGAAGAACAAATTAAAAAATTCTTCTGGTGTGGAAACCACTGAGGCTTTGAGGTTTACAGGCATTTCTATAAACTCTGCACTTGTTGCTGAAAGATCACCACTGTTTGCCTTTGGGTCTGAGTCAACAGTGCAGGACACATGAAATTAATTCCCTCTTTTAGGACCATTTTCCCCCAGCAGGCAGCTGTCCAAGCACAGCAGAGACCAGAGTTAACACACAGCCAGCACTCTGAAAGCCTCTCTAAAAGCTGGCTCTGAGAACAAGCTGAAGAGCAAAACTCTGCCATGTAATCCAAATTACCCACTTGGACATGGAACTGTGTCCTGCAGGCACAGCAATCCCTGCAGGAAATGTGGACACCAAGGTCTCCACGAGCTCTCAGCTTTTTCCCCCCTTCTCATCACGATTGTAGCTGCAGGTGGGGATTTTCAGCAGCAAAAAGGGCAGTTGGGGCACTCTGGGGTGAGGTGCACTGGGATGGCTCAGCCCAGGCAAGCCCAGGTCAGAGAGACATCCCACTGACCTTCCTGACAAAAGCAGTGTCAGCTGCAAACACCCGAGCTCTCCACAGAGCTCTGCCAACAACACCCCAACACCCTCTCCCAGGGACTGCAGGACTAAGGGGCATTAACTCCCAAGGTTTTTCAATCCTGTCCTAGAGGGTGTTGCTGGGATTTCTGGACTGTCTCTAAATTTCCCCTGTTAGGGCTTCCTACACTGCAGGTTTTATTCCGTGGCTTTTCCACCAGCAGAATGATTTTCAGGAGCGACTTTGCTCAGGGTTGCAGAGTCTTTCACTGAGTTGCGTCACACACACACAATTCCAAAAGACAGACTTGTGAAAAAGCCTTTCCATCCAAATCCACTGGTTTTTACCTTTTCATCCCCCATTATTCCATAAATATAAACCAGAGCTCCTTCTCATCGAGTGCATTCAACTCTGACATGAACCTAATTCCAACTACTAAGTAAATTATCCCCCCAAACAATATAAATGAGAAAACATCTTTTTTAGGATGCCTAAAAAAAAAAGAAAAAAAATTGCATGGACATGTTTTATGGAATTATTTCAGGATAAAAATAAATGGAACAGAATCTCTATTATTCAGACAAAACCTTTCAAATAAATGCAGCAGTTTTGGCTAAGTTTTGTTGCCAAATTTGTTACCCTCGATTGCAAAAAATGTCAATAGGGAAAAAATACAATAGGTTGAAATATTACTTTTTTTTTTTTTTTTTTTTAAATAATGGCAGCAAGATCCAGCTCGGCCATTAAAACCTTACCTGGGGAATCAAATAATCATGGCTGTTCTGCTTTGCCTCTGCCCAAGTGCCATGTAAACCACTGACACAGGCAGGGTTTATTTTAATACATGGTCCATAAATCAGTTGTGATGCTGTGTGGTAAAACACAACTGTTCCTGTTGTCACTGCTGTTCCTCCTTTCCAAGCTCCCACTCGGTAAAACTCCACCATATTTTTTGTTTCCCTTCTGACCCAGCGACTTCCAGCCACGAGAACCCCAAACGAAACACCCTCAGCTCCAGTTGAGAACATTTCAACGTTTCTCTACCTCAGAATCTTTGAGTCTCACATAATTAGATGGGAAAACTCCTGATTTATCACCCAGCGTGCCCGTCCACCAGTCACCATCTTTCTTTGTCACCAGAATCATGTCACCTTGTTGGAAAGTGAGGTCTCCTTGCTCCGAGCTCTCGTAGGTGTACATGGCAATGTACTCTGGGGGAGGGACACGAGAAAAACAGGGAAAACACTTCACAAACTGCTTCATCACCACGGGAAAAACCCAAGTCGTGTCAGTAGTTTATTCACAGGCTCGATGGAAGACCAGTTTCTTGTTAAGTGCTCACAGAGAGCTCGCTATTTAATGCACGAAATGGTACCTATCAGAGCTAAGCACAGTGGATCCAGGGGCTGCCTCAGGGGGATTTCATATGATTTGCTTTATAATTAAAACATACACAGATCATTTAGATCCCTCTGAAAACACGTCTCCCAGTGGTTCCTGGTTTGTGCTGGTGCCTGGAACTGTCAGTGCTAGGGATGGGAAGTCCCAGTGTGCAGAATTTTGGATCCAGCCCTGTTTCACAGCTGCTGATGGCCCAGGCCTACAAGGAATTCTTTCCTGCCCTCCCCCCCACAGAGGGGTCTGAACCTGTTCTGATCTTGCACACCCAACTCCTCAGGGGTCCCATGCAAAGCCACCAAACTGGGCTGAGGTTGAGATCATTCAACCATAAACCATTACAAAGCCCAATTTCAGACAATCCAGCACCATTTTCTACAGAACTTGCTGTGCCCTGCTGACCTGAGCACTGAGCATTCCCATCCCAGGGCACAAAGCAGGTTCCTGAGGCTGATTTTCCCCTGTTCTGAGCCCCAGAGCAGTTCCCAAGATTCCAGAAAGACTTCCCTGCCCATGGAACAGAAATGTTCACCTGTTCCAGTGCAGCTGGAAATTATTCCTTGTGCTTGAACACTAAATCTGACCAAAAACCTTCTCTGGGGGTAGTTCAGCAAGAATTCCACCTGAATTCCTGTTCCCAAGGAATGGAAGATGCTAAATCTAACCTTTTTATGTTTTTAAAAAAGCTCTATGATTTAAGAAGCTTATTACTTAAAAGGCTTTATTATTTCCTTAAAAATACAGCTTTTTGGAAATGTTTTCCCAAAAGTTGAGTTCCTTTTTAATACAAACATATAACCTGATATAAATCTGTAAATATATAGAGATATGTAAGGAGACTTAGCATGCCTTGTAGCTAATAATATGAGGAAAACCAGGACAAGGTGATCTTTAGGGCCCTTCCAACCCAACCCACTCTCTGATTCCATGAAATACAGAGTGAGCCAGACCAGCTGTATTTTGAAATAACTGATTCTCTCCCCTTCCTTGTGGGTGGATCTTTGCTGTCCCCTCCAGTCAGGAATTCCCCTTTTAATCTGATCTGATCATTCTCTGTCTGTCCCCAGGCTCCACCTGTAAAACTGAGGGGGAGCCCTGAGCAGAAGGATCCCAATATTCTATAACTCACTGTCACTGCTTTAACCAAGAGCTTCATGAAACATTGGAAATGAGCTTTGGGGGAAACTGAGACATTTATTCCCAATTCCTGACATCATGGAGTACATGGACAGGGGTGTTTATTTGGCATAACCCCCTTCCAGACCAGAAATTGTTACCAAAATACTGGTTAAAAAAATTAAAATATGGGGAAAAGTACAAAATACAAAAGACATGATATGTTAAATTATTTCTTCTACATACACAACCCATACAAATTTTCACTATAATGATTTTAAATCACTGCAGAGGCAGATTGATGTGCCCTTCACCTGCAACCCCCCAGTGTGGCTCTAAGGGTGATTTTGGGAACAAGCAGGTGGTGAATCCCAGAAAGATCCTCTCAGTGCCATGGCTTGAAGTCCTTACCTTCCCCTGACATCGTGGCCTTTGCTGCTGGGGATGCTACTCTTTTCAGACTAGCAGGGCTTTCTGAGGACCCAGAATCCATGCTTGAGGAGAAAATAATGGTTACATAAGAAATTCAATCCCTTCAGAAAAATTACCATTATATTTCAAACTCAAAAATGCAAATGCACCCCCAAGCAATTCCCAGTGTTTTAAAAGAGCAGTGAATGTGCAAAATAAAGCTCTGAAGTCCAGCTGTGGTTTCACTGAGGCAGATGCCTTAAATACAGAATTTTCTGCATCTCCTCCTCTTCCCCAGCAAAAAAAAAAAAAAATGATCTAAGATCCTTCTCATTTGTATTGCTAATGTTAATGTTGGCTTCACATTACACAGAATTTAAATTCCTCCACGAATAATGAGAAGTGATTTAGATTTGAGGAATCTCTTTTAATTTTGGGGAAAGATAAGCTGTGATTTACATAGGTGCAATTCATAAAATCCAACAGACTCATTTTTTAGTGGCAAATCACCTAAAATTAAGAAAGTCCATTAATCTTTTGTTGGTGAGGCAAGACCCAAGGAGAGCTGGGGGCAGTTTTATTGCCCACACGAATTTCCAAGGTTGGAAGTCCAAACTCTCCAGAAGGGTCAGATAAGAAAAGCCACTTCCACAAAGTAGATTCTCAGCTTTAAAATCCAACTGTGCAACTCTTCCTATTAATTTATCTATTCCAGTACAGGCAAAGCAAACAAATACCTCGTTGACTTCCTTATGGGGCCTGAAATGAGCTTCACATAGGACTTGGGGAACCACCCCTTTTGTCCCTGGACCTCTCCAAACCACCACATGTCCTGCTGCTCCAGGACTGTGATGACATCGTTCTTGTTGAAATTAAGGTGGTTGTCCTTTTTGGCTCTCCAAGGATACAAAGCCTGTGCTTGAAGCCCCTCCACTTTTTCACCCTGAGAAATAAAAGGAGACAGAAGTCAGTCATGCCCCTCCTTTCACCAGGAAAGCTGCTTAAGGAATTATATTCTCAGGCTACTTATAGAGCAACAACAACACAGAGCCCCTCCCTCAGTGACAGCAATGCCAGTTGAACTCCCCAAGGAACTCCAGAAATGTCTACAGCCCTCCCACATTTCTGTCTCCTGACATATAATCAATATTAAGTTAAATAGTTTTACAACTAAAAAATACACTTAATAAACCTACAGGCAGCTGATTTGGCAGAATATAAGTAAACTTTGTGGGAAATGATGCTTTGCTGATATTACTCACTGTACATTCCAGGGGTTTATTGCTTTAAGAGAGTGAGATATTCAGCACTTTCCAGAACACAGTTCTGTTTGTTGTTCCATTGAGGAAAAAGAAATGCCTGAGCAGATGGACAGGATTCAGCTGCTCTGAGGCTTTGCCACTGCTATTCCACTTAACCACATAATCCACCTGGGAGTGAAGGTTGTTGTCATGTGAGTCAAGAAAGCCCCAGGGAAGCGACCCACCCCTGGACCACCAAAATCCCAAACAGCCAGTCCAGAACAGCAACTGCTTTGTGTTAAACCCTGCCCCAGATACTGCCAATGGATCACAGAATCATGGAAGGGTTTGGGTTGGGAGGCACCTTAAAGCCCACCCAGTGCCACCCCTGCCCTGGGCAGGGACACCTTCCACCAGCACAGGTTGCTCCAAGCCCCGTCCAACCTGGCCTGGGACACTTCCAGGGATCCAGGGGCAGCCACAGCTTCTCTGCCCAACCTGTGCCAGGGCCTGCCCACCCTCCCAGCCAGCAATTCCTTCCCAATATCCCATCTAACCCTGCCCTCTGGCAGTTTGAAGCCATTCCCTGTGTCCTGTCCCTCCATCCCTTGTCAATAGTCTCTCTCCATCTTTCCTGGAGCCCCTTCAGGCCCTGCAAGGCCACACTCAGGTCCCCCCAAAGCTTCTCTTGTGCAGCTGAACAATCCCAGCTGTGCCAGCCTTTCCTCCCAGCAGAGCTGCTCCAGCCCTGGGATCCTCTTGGTGCCTCCTCTGGGCTCTCTCCAGCAGCTCCA